ATTATTGTTTTGTGTACTTATTTTAATCTTATTTAAGTACACAAAACAATAATTTTCCTTTTTTATATCTTTTTGTAGATCATCCATTGGGGCAAAGAATTCAGTGACATCGTCTTGGATACTCCCACCCAGCCAAGCCATTCCTGCCTGGTCACATGGCCAGCAAGCCACTCCCACAAAGCAGGCCACACCTACAGAAGAGGTTCTAAAAAATTTTGAAACCCACCACTGATGGGGAAGAAATTTTATTTTCATTCATACTGTGTGTTATGCTTATCGTTAAAAAAAAGTCTTTGAAAGCATCCAAGAGCTGCAATGGGAGATATGGCAAGATTCCCCCACACACACACACACACCCAAAAAAGGCTAGACTGTGACTTCTAAGGTTGACAGTTTCCCAGCGCTCAGAAAGAAATGCAGTATTTAAATGTATTAAGCATAACTCTAAGTTAAAAGCCTGTTTATTATTTTCCATCCAAAATGCTGACTGTTTCTTGGCTATTTTCACTGCTATTTAGTAGCATAACTGCAGGAGCATTAAAATGAGATTGCCCACACACCCCTACTCTACAGAACCAAAAATGAAGCTCATGAATACACTAATCCTATGATTAACTGCAACATAGTTTACTGAGTAAACCAATTTTCCCAGGGCCAGACCAGACACTGAATCACAAAACACCACCTGCATTTTAGTCCAGCATATTGTGATATGAGCTTTTGTTAGCATCCTGTGGATAGCAACAAAAGGAGGTTACAGAGGCTGATCCCTCTAGATCCCTCAAGTGGGGTCTCTAGGTGCTGCCCTATAATATCTACTGTTAAAACTCCCAAAATTTGTGGGGAAGGCAATCAGTCTATAGGCTCCAACCATCACTCCAGAACATGTTTTCTCATTGTGCTTTATTCTGTAGGAAGAAAACAGACAATTCTCCTGTTTCAGGGACTTTTTCCTGAAAGAAGAAATGAGTTCTATAGTATGATGATTTATGGGTTTGAAGATTTAAAAAGATGTGGATTAAGTGAGGAGCTGAAGGGAATTGTATAATATCTAAAAGGGAGGAAGAATGACAGAATTTTAATTATCTATTGAAGAGAAGAAAGTCATTATATTTCTTAACTTTAATATCTTTTTTTCTCTTTTCTTGCACTCTTTTCTTTCTTTCTCTTTGACGTCTCTTTAACTAAAATTCTTAAGAATTATACATATAAAAAAGTGAAAATCCCTCTGCTTTCATTCTAACTTTCTTTTTATAGCAGCAGAATTACAAGGGTTGTTAAGCTACTTTCCTGGTAGAATGATATAGCAGTATAATAAGATATAGTTGCTTATTATGTATATTAAGAGTTAAGCAACCAGTTTAGCCTGAAAAGGAAATGAGAAAAGGAAAAAATGAAGTCAGGATTCCTAAAGACAGCCAGAATCCCACAGATTCATACAGGAAGAATAAAATAGGAACAAGAATACCCAAAATAACTTTACTGAATTATCATCATTTTCATTATCTAGTTCCACATTTTCCAACATGGCTCTTTCTTCTGATTTAACAATGCTAATCCAGGATAGGGGTGACTGGCCTATAGCTAATTAAAGCCAACCAAAAAAGCTTCCCTTCTCACATAATGGAAGTAAATAAAGAAAAAGACCAAATATGACTGGATACCTCCCACTTTACAAACTCACCTGATAGAAAGAGAAAATTTTCCTTCAGTTGATTGGCTGCTTCATGTTTTACTTTTGGGTGCTTTGCTGAATTCTGCCTCCGATTCTGATTGATTGATTGATTAATAGTCTTACATCTGAACCTTTGGAAATGTTTTTTACCCTTTACTGCAGATGCTAAAGGCAAAGAAGGTGCTGAGACAATAGAGGAAGGGATAGAGGAATAGGGACTGGTTTTGTAAGGATTTGTGTGAATTTTAGTAGCGAACTGGCAGGGAGAGGAAGTAAACAATGATGGGAAAACAGTGGTGGACATGGGCTGGTGGGGTTCATAGAAATGACAGGGAAGGAAGGCACTGGGATTGTTATCCTGCAATATCAGTCTAAAAACTCTCTCCGGCTGTTGTGTATTGAAGAAAGTCCTCGCTGTTACGAATGACAGCTCGGAAGCAGCCAGGCGCGTCTTAGCCAATCAGNCAGGGTTGACTCAGCCTTCCATCCTTCCGAGGTGGGTGAAATGAGGACCCGGATTGTTGGGGGCAATATGCTGACTCTGTAAACCGCTTAGAGAGAGCTGAAAGCCCTATGAAGCTGTATATAAGTCTAACTGCTATTGCTATTGCTATTGCTAACCCCAGTTTCTCCCCCGCCCCCTACTTTCCCTGCTCTTAGGAGTCCAGGCCCTAATGAATATTATGCAGAATTGGTACACGCTCTTCACACCTATCGAGGCTACAACTATCGTGGCAGTGACCGGGACCACACATGCCACATTGCTAAGGCTGAGCCTGGGTTCAGGGCAACGGGATGAGCTGTGCAGTTGTGCCCGGACACTGGCGTTGCAATGCGCCATGAAGGACCCGCAAAACTGTGCCTTGCCAGCCCTGACCCTATGTGAGAAGAACCACGCGGCCTTCGAGGCAGCCTACCAGATTGTGCTAGATTCCGCAGCCTCAGCTGGCATGGGCCACTCCCACCTGTTCACCATCGCCCGGTATATGGAGCACCGCGGGCTGCCCGTTCGTGCCTACAAGCTGGCTACCTTGGCCTTCTCGCACCTCAACATTGCTTTCAACCAGGACACCCACCCAGCGCTCAACGACGTCCTGTGGGCCTGCTCCCTCAGCCAGTCCCTGGGGAAGAACGAGTTGGCGGCCATCGTCCCGCTCGTCATCAAGAGCGTGCAGTGCGCCCCCATGCTCTCCGACATCTTGCACCGTTGGAGCCTTCCTCCCCCAGGTCTCGCTTCGATGGGCGGAGGGCGCCGTGGGGCAGGCGGCACGGGTACCGGCGGGAAGCTCTTCGCCATGGACAAGGCCCCCCTCTGTCAGCTGCTGGAGGCCGCCATGGCGGCTTACATCAGCACCACCCACTCGCGCCTGACCCACATCAGCCCACGGCACTACGGCGAATTCATTGAGTTCCTGGGGAAAGCCCGCGAAACTTTCCTGATGGCCCACGAAGGGCACCTACGTTTCAGCCAGTTCCTTGACAACCTCAAACAAACTTACAAGGGCAAGAAAAAACTCATGTTGCTCGTCCGGGAACGGTTTGGCTAGGGGGGGAAACATGCTTTGGCTAAGGGGGAGCAACCGGAGGGACATTTCTCCCCCTTGATCAGAAGCACTTTGGCTCGGAGGGCGGGGCAGAAAGACCAGTTTTCCTTGGAGCACAAGTGTCCTGAACCCGTGGCCAGGCAGCGCCTGGGGTTTGCTCCCCACCTTCAGGAACTCTCTTGCCTGCGTGCGCGCTCCTCCCATCCCCGGAAGGAGACCTGATCCGATGGGGATGGGCTTCAGGCCGTAGCCTCAGAAGTGAGGGAGGGGATGGGGCGGTGTGCCTGCATCTCTGTAGCTGGGCACAAGCTCTTGTGAAAAGGTCTCTCTAGTTCAGTGTTTCTCAACCTTGGCAACTTGAAGATGTCCGGACTTCAACTCCCAGAATTCCCCAGCCAGCATTCGCTGGCTGGGGAATTCTAGGAGTTNCCTCACAGGTTTTCAAGCCGCAAGTTCTGAAGCCTCCAGTCTCCAGTAAGATATGCATCTCGTGGCCCGGCTTGCCACATCCCCTGCCCCACCTGCCACCCCCAAATTGCATCCCACTGTGAGGGTCTCTCAGCCGTTGTGTGCAGGGAAAATGCTTGTATAGGAAAGAAAAACTTCCCAAGAATGCAAGAAACTGTTAATTGCCTCGCATTCACGGGAAAATTTTCTTTACTGTGCAAGATTTTTCCCTGCACACAATGGCTGAGATGCTTGGAGTGGGGCGCAATTTGGGCTCACCCCCCACCCCAAGGTCCTCCTGCCTTCTTGCCCAGTGCTGCTGACTGGAAAGCGAGGTCGTCCACTGCCTGTTTGCCCAGTGCTCACTCAGAGACCTCCTAGCTCCTACCCCCCAGCCCCCCCAACATACCCCCCCCCACTAGGGTGCAGCCACTCACTGGTTCTTTCTTCTTATGGTTCGAAACTAAGCCCTGGTTGGTTGGTTGGTTGGTTGGTTGGTTGGTTGGTTGGTTGGTTGGTTAAAGTGCAGGTTGGATCCTAATGCTCCATCACTGGAGGCTTTTAAAAGGGAGAACTTTTTGGTGGCCGGCTGACAAAGAAAGCTCTCAGCCATGACTGCCGCCGCTGCCACTCCCGCCAGCTGGGTGGGCAAACAAAGTGGGTGGGCAGGGCAAGCATGGTACGGATGGGCGGGGCAAGAGAGTGAGTGCGCAGCAACCGGGCTGGTGGGGGGAGTGAGCAGGGGCAGCCCAGGGGACCATACTGGTACGGGGGTGTGGCCAGGCCACCGCTGCTACCAGTCCGCAAACATACAGCTAATAGTACACCTGTACCGGTGTGTACTAGGAGCAACCCACCTCTGATACCACTTAGCCATGTGCCTATACCTCCCACAAACTAACTGACACAGAACAACAATGGACTATATGGGAAAAGGAGGCTTTTGCGGTGTGATGGGCGTTGCTTACATGGAGGCATTTACTTGAGGGGGCTATGGTCCCCTTCGAGGTATGGACTGACCACAAGAACCTGGAGGCTCTACAATCTCCCCAGAAGTCGCCCAAGCCGGTACGATGGGCGCTCTACTTCCGTAGGTTTAACTTCCAGCTGAAATATATTCTCGGTGGGCAAAATTTTATGGCAGACGCTTTGTCACAGAAGCCACAATTTAATAGTGATTGAGAGCAGACCTTCCAGCCTATGTTTCCCCAGTCAGCGAATATAGCTTTAGCGGCCAGCATCCAGGGCAGAAAGCCTCCAGCTGATATCACACAGTCTATTAGAGATGCACTTCCACTAGACCCTTGGTTCCAGGTGAATCAGCAGACTCTAACTAAAAGAGACGGTTTAGCCTGGAAAGGGTCAAAAATAATGGATAGCAGTTTTACAGCGTTGTCATGGTGCACGGGTAGCAGGACATTATAGATTCCTGAAGACACTGCACTTGACAAATTGGCAGTTTTGGTGGCCAAAGATGAAGCGGGATATTGAGCCGAGGTGGCGCAGTGGTTAAATGCAGCACTGCAGGCTACTGCAGCTGACTGCAGTTCTGCAGTTCGGCTGTTCAAATCTCACCATCTCAGGGTTGACTCAGCCTTCCATCCTTCCGAGGTGGGTAAAATGAGGACCCGGATTGTTGTTGGGGGCAATATGCTGACTCTGTAAACCGCTTAGAGAGGGCTGAAAGCCCTATGAAGCGGTATATAAGTCTAACTGCTATTGCTATTGCTATTGAGGAATATGTTCGGGGTTGTAATGTTTGCACAACTATGAAAAGTAGGCCAGGAAAGCTGCCTGGCTTATTACAACAAGTAGCAAAGCCCACTCAGCCCTGGGAAGACATAGCGATGGATTTCATTGGGGAGCTGCCGGAGAGCAGGGGAAATACCGTTATCTAGTATTGTTGATTTGTTCTCGAAACAGACTCATTTCATTGCCTATCCAGGACTCCCGTCAGCTAAAAAATTGGCCAAACTATTCCTAGTACATATTTACCGTTTTCATGGTGTACCTAATGGTGTACCTAAACATATAATTTCAGATTGTGGGGTACAGTTTACTGCTCAATTTTGGAGCAGCTTTCTGAGGAGGGTGGGGTCCTCTCAGGGTTTGAGTTCTGCATTCCATCCAGCTACCAATGGCACAACAGAGAGGGCTAATGCTGCAGTGGAATGGTATCTCCGTTGTTATGTGCATTACCAGCAAACTGACTGGGCGGATCTACTGCCATTTGCTGAAGTTGCACATAACAATGCAGTACATAGTAGTACTGGGTATACACCATACCGTCCCCAAGCCACTGATGATCACGGAACCATAAAGGAATGGATAGACTACATGCATCCAGTGTGGGAAAATGTCCAAAAAGCATTGCGGGTAGCAGCAGAAACGTACAAGAGACACGCCGACAAGAAACGTAGTCCACAACCAACGTTTCAGGTCGGGGATAAGATATTTTTATCTACCAAGTATATACACCTTAAAGTGCACTGCAGTAAGCTGGGTCCCAAGTTCATAGGTCCATTCCCAATCGTCAAGAGTAATTAATCTGGTCACGGTAGAACTAAAGCTGCCTCCCCTGTTGGGGAAAACCCACCCGGTGTTTCACAGCAGTTTACTCAAACCGGTGACCACCACTGGGCTATGTAATCTTCCAACACCACCATCTCTGGTGCAGGTTGATGGTGAACGCCATTATGAAATCGAACAGATAGTAGATTCCTGGCATCGTCATGACACTTTACAGTATTTAGTAGTTTGGAAGGGATACCCGTTTACAGACACATCGTGGGTGAGGTCATCTGAGGTGCACGCACCACACCTGATCACCCATTGATACCCTGATAAACCTATAGAGGATACCGCTAATAGCACTTTTTGCCTTCCAGAGTCCTCTCCAGTAGTAGGGGGGCGGCATGTCAGCCCTCGGGCTGCTATTCAGGGGGGAGCCCGTCCATCGCCATGCCTGCTTGGCCATGCTTACATGCCACCAACGCTGCCACATTGATGTTGACTCTCTGATGTTGGTGGAGCCTGACATTAAGTCCAGAACCTCTACCCATTACCGTTAATGAAAGATATGCTGGCCCAGTTGGGTAAAGGAAAGCTTTTCACGAAATTAGATCTGCGAGAGGCCTATTACAGAGTCAGAATTAAAGAGGGAGACGAATGGAAAACTGCTTTCAACTGCCCTCTTGGTTGTTCCCAATTTCGGGTACTCCCATTTGGCTAGCAGGGGGCACTAGTTGTTTTCATGCAACTGACTAATGAGGTTTTCCATTACCACCTCTACAAAGGCGTGATGGTCTATCTTGATGACATCCTTATTTACACAGAAACATGTGAAGAACACATGAAACTGGTCCGCTCAGTGCTTAAAAAACTCCGGGCAGTGGAACTGTATGCAAAATTGTCTAAGTGTGAATTTCATCAGGAGAAAATTGGCTACCTTGTGTATCACATCTCCCATGATGGCATCAAGATGGACCCAGCAAAGGTGTCACTGAATGTTGTCACTGAATGGGCACCCCCCCGCACCCGCAAACAATTGCAAAGTTTTTTGGGATTTGCGAACTTTTATCGTCAATTTATTCCCTCATTCGCCAGCATTGCCCTTCCTATTACAAACCTCCTGAAATCAAAGGGGGAGGCCAAGCCTAGGCCAGGAAAGCCCTTAAATTGGACTATGGAGTGTCAAGCTGCATTTGAAAAACTAAAACAACTGCAGCTGAACCAGTTTTGAAACACCCGGACATGGATTCGCCATTTGTGGTCCAGGCGGATGCTAGTGATGTTGCAATGGGGGCAGTATTGCTACTAGCCAATGCTGATGGGAAGCTACAACCTTGCGCTTACACCTCTCGGAAGCTGACTGAGACGGAGTGGCGATGGGCTATATGGGAAAAGGAGGCTTTTGCAGTCAGGTGGGCTTTGATGACCTGGTGACATTTCCTGGAGGGGGCTAAACACCCTTTTGAGGTGTGGACTGATCACAAGAATCTGGAGGCGTTAAAGACCCCTTGGAAATTATCTCCTAAACAGATGAGATGGGCACAACATTTCAACAGGTTCAATTTCACTTTAAAGTATATCCCAGGGGGGAAGAACTTTATGGCAGATGCTCTATCCAGACTCCCTCAATACAACAGCTCAAAGCTTAGCGTGGTTCACCCAGTCATCCCAGTGAAGAATCTCGCTGCTCCGGTGGTCACCAGAAGCCAGAGCAGCTCTAATTTTGAGATCACGAAGGACCTCATCGCCAAACTCAAGGAGGGCCTTGAGTCCGATGAGTGGTTTAAACAGCATTCGAATGAGTGTACCATGAAAGACGGTCTACCTTGGATAGGAGCTGAATTGTATGTTCCTTCTGCCATTAGAACTTTGGTTCTACAATGAGCCCATGATTCACGCATGGCAGGCCATTTTGGATTTGTGAAAACTCTGCATCTTATTAAAAGGCAATTTTGGTGGCCATCATTGAAGAAGGACATTGAGTCTTATGTGGCCAGTTGCCCCACATGTGCTGCTGCGAAACTCCATGGAAAGAAATATCTATG